ATAAACCTTCGCCTAGGGCGTCCCATCCTCCTGCCGTTCACCTCTGCAACATAAATTTGCTTTGTCACTCTTTCCTCATTCATTATTTCTACATGACGAACTTATAAGTTATAACAAATGTATAATGCCCGGACTGGCTATGGTACCACAATCGTCAATTCACCTATCAATCGTGACGATAACGATAAACCCTTCACTTTGATGAACATGGTATACATGGGACTTAAATATGTATTTGAACATGGTATACATGGGACTTAAATATGTATTTAGGTATTAAGGTTTAGAGTGGTAGTTCAGTGACCAAGCGCTTGACGTAACAGTACGCGAGCATCCCGTGCTTGATCGGCGCCGGCCATTGCTAATTGCATTTTTGCAGTGCTGATTTACCACGTACTTGGCAATGAAGGTAAACAAGGAAAACTTAAAAAATTAAATAAAACCTGATTTCAAAAACTAAAAATTATTTGCACGGGTTTTGAATTTATACAAGTTCTAGGTTACTACTAGAATGTATTCATAATTTTATTTTTATAATGTGCAATCAATTTTAAAAGTAATCCACTTTGCTTATATTGGCTATAACGTAAAGAGATATATTTGTACACCACACTGGTAGAATACACGATACCTACTGTAAATTTTACTAACACCTAACTCACTTCATTCACAAATAAATAAATGAATTTGAAAAAAATAATTAATTAAAGCATTCCACGCTAACAAATCATAATGTTAAATAACAATGAAATATAATGAAATGTAATCAAGGAAGAGTTACGTGGTTGAGCCCCCACTGGTTGTGCCATGCTGCGCGCACGGCCTCCTTCGATGCTGTCGTGCAAAAACTGTCAGTTTTAAATAAGCAGTCATCATTATCATCAAGTAAACTAACCCTTTGTTGGGATGGTTTACCGTAATCACTACGTTTGACAGATGCATTGTTGATTGCACTCTCAGATGACTTGAACCTTTGACGCTGCTCCGAGTTGCCGGGATGGGTAATTTATGCCTAGCTCTAGTTGATCATACTGCCACCTATCGGAGACTATTACATTTTCTTCTTTTACACCGCCACCACTTATCAAACTGTAATGTTTAATTATTATAGCAAAAAAAATCATTCTTCAAAGGTATATCTTTATACTTCACCTTATATTGTCAATCGTGTCCGGGCTGCAACTTTAAGATTAAATTGCTGGCAGTGGCAGATATTGCCTTTGTTTGTTCGATGGTATATTTTTATTTCGCACGGTATTCATTTGCGACGGCCGCCAGACTAAACAATCGAGGTGAAATAAAACAATGATAGGATACTTTTTAATTACGCTATATTTAATTATTTCATTAATGTTTATTTTTGTTTAACATATTTTCTTATTGAGCATAATGCTGGAGTGGTCAAAATTTCATGACATTTTATTAAATAACAACTTGACGAAAAAACATCCTCAATGAATATAGATTTGTATTTAAAATATATTTTCAAATTTTTAAATCATAAATAATAATTTTATTTCATAAATATTTTTTAATTTAATTTTGAAATTAGATTGAGTGAATAGAGAGTGTACCTACATGTGTTTGCGCACACATTCGTGTACTATAATCCTGTCCTGCGCATATGGCTAGTCTCCGTTGAGACTTGTCGCTATAATCGAAATTCGTTCTGAAGGATATTACTTCATCAGCTCCCAAAAGTCCACTGCAAAACATAGACTTCTTCAGAAACTTTGGTGACGTTTGGTGGGTCGATTGGCAGTCATAACCAGGTATCTCACTGCCTTTCAAGGCGCTCGCCGTCATTGGGTCTGGGCAAAAGTCTAACATAAACGGTATAGTTATAGCGCCGTCGTTACGGAATTATAATAGTACCTACGGGCATTGCTATATCCTTTTAAAAATAAATATAATGTAAAACCGGCCAACTCGCTCTATTAGGGTATCGTATACATATTATGTTTGACCAATTAAATATTCGTTTCAGAGTTCGTAATAAAGTTCCTGCAGTCTTGATCAAAAGCCTAGATTTTGATCAAAAACCTGATTTTACCCTAAACCTGCGACATATACAAAGTTATTGTGACTACTTAAAAAATATATATTTTTATTTTAATAAATGTAATAGTTTTAGTAGCTTAAAATATCTATTTAATAACACTAATAGTGATGAATAGTAATAAATTACATTGTGTACATTGAAAATAAAACACAAAATTATTTTTATGGTATTTTATATCTGGTCATTGTTAATCAATAAAATATAACCAGGAATTCAAAAGGATATACGTATACATTTTTCTTTTTGTTGCAGATGAATATTTATGTATAATTTAAATTATAAATGTAAACTAAAATTAATATAAGACTATACGATGATGCCCTTCGAGAGCCATAATTATAATTCTTAAAATTTGTATAACTAAATTGTAGTAAAAAATTAATCTTTTCATAATGTATTATTTTTACGGGTATCACAAGTGGTTAATAGATTATGATTTTCAGTAACAATTAAGCGATGAGTCGACCGGCTTTTGTCAAGTTAATCTTATAAAAGCGGAGTGTGCAAGCAGTCCGTTGTTTGAAGCGAAACCTTTATTTTACTGTTGACGACCGGGTAGAACTTAGGAACGTATTTTCTCTTCATGAAGACTTCTGTTTGATTTCACTCGTAATTATGTAAAATGTTATACTTGATTTGCAATTACTGATGGTAATGTAAGTTTTTTTATCGCCTAGTTATAATTATTAATAATGTAAACTATTATATAAATTATACAAATTGTAATAGTAACAATAATGAAACTATAATAGGCAGTGACTACTTATTTGAGATATTTCTCCCTCTCATTTGTTGCTTTAGTTATTTATTGATATTTTAAGTAAGTGTGTAATTAAAAACTTGAAAAAATCTGTGAAAAAATATTACAATCGGTTTTAATAGAGTTAATTATTTAATGATTTCGTATGTTTACGCGAATACTACACATTTGAATAAAACTAAGGATTTTATCGCGTTTATTAATTCGCGCTTAAAACCTAGTTTATAAACGCGATAAAATCCGTAATAAATAACTAGTTTCATTCAAATGTAAATTATTTATTAACTTATCCTCTCAATTAAAATTAGTAAATATTTTATTAATCGAAATTACTGACTTATACGTGGTATTTATTTTATAAAACGCCTCCATGATATACCTTCAAGAGAAATTCCTAGCGCTGGAGTAACGTATTAAAAATAATAATTAAAAAGTAGTTTAATCGTTTTTATGATCCTATGATTTTTGCCAATAAGATAGGACGGATCAAAAGTAATGATAATTTTATAATAGTGTTTAATATTCGCAGAATCATTTGCAAAGCCGTTGAGAAACTTTTATTGGAATAGTTTACGGAATAGTTTGTGTGCAGCTCAGTCGTGCATCTATACATGATAATTGCTTTTTTTATGACTCTGCAAGAAATAATTTATTATATCTACAGTACCGCCGCTATGATAGCCTGTATGTAAAACCAATTATGCTGTCCTAACACCTCCTTAATATTTTCACTCAGTCGTCACTGTAACTATGCATAGATGATTATTGTCCATACTCCTTGTACAATTTTTATATTATATATTTAAAATACCCAAACTAGATAGAGGATAAATGCCTATTGTAGTGAAATAAATAGCGTTTTAAAAAAATAACGTAATGATATAAATAAGGAACGACATTGTCAAAAAAAAAAAAAACTTCAGTAAATACTTAAGGAAATTTCCAATGCGAACATAATTCATGAGAATCAAACGGGGCTAAATGACGAAACCCTTTCGATTACTATATCGAATAGATTTATGTCCACTTTATGTTAAGACAGTACCGTAAAGTAAAGTTTACATATAAGAGACATTGCTGAAGCGCTGACGACGTTATAAATACTTCGTTACGTCATTATTAGATATTCCCATAAAGTACTCCTGCGATGATGAAACCTTTTTGTTATGATGTCAAAATTTGTCTTAGACTTTTTAAGCTTATTGTTGTTTGCTGTTGGATTATTGGATGGATATTGCTCCGTAGCGGCCATACAAACCAGTTACTGTTACCTCTGAAGTTTGTTTTAGGCAGTAACTAAGTTGAGTTTCATCTATAAAACTAGTGCATCGTATATGTGATCCCGTATGTGGGATCATAAGTCTGCCATTATTCTATACAACCAATAGGTGATTTTCGGTACGAATCCCAATCGTCTGTAAATCATCTTCTTACACTGCCAGAAGTTGACAATTATCTTCTGAACTTGTGGTCCATGTGACTATTTAATTTTCTGTATAGTAATAGTAACTCTGTGCTGAATGAGAGGTAAAGAAAGGAACGAAAAAGTTTACGAGTGTCGATGACAGTGTCGGTTTTCGTTGTGTTTTACTTTCTGTAGTTAGTCCCTCCTTTTTTATTGTAGGAAATCCCAATATTTTCTGCTGCGGGGCGAAGGAAGGGTTGATTTAGCCAGTGTAGGTGACGTAGACTTGGTTCGCCTTAAATTCTTTTCTTTACATCTGCTTTTTGAAACCATCACTAGTCTTGAAATCAAAAAAATAAATCCAAAAACATACAGGACTGCCAGACTTGGCATATTTTTTGTTTGGATATATTTTCGTTCATTATGCTAGTTTAAAAAAATAACAGTATATGTTTCTGACTCATTTTAGGCATGAGGAACTTTATCACAATATGACTTCATCACTTGACTGAGTGGGTTCTTTTTTTTAATTATTTTTCTAGAAATTGCAAAAATTTTGCCATTTTCATATTCATTTACTATAATCAAAACCGTAATTCCTTTTTGACAAACGACGTGGGCAATATTTTGCTCCTGCTTACTCGTAATATATTTATTTTGTGTTAGAAGATTATGCTGTGGTCAAATATTTAATTCTATTTATTTTGTTTCAGAATGTGAACTTCTGCGCCGATACATCAATGACGGTAACATATACATGATTATAGTGGACAATGCGGTCACAGGGTACGAAAACCTTAAGTAAGAAAGGAGCTTTGGTAAAAACATCTTTCAAGGGAAATTCGGCTTCTAAGTCTACCAAGAAAAAAGTAGTTACAACGAAAAAGGCAAGAAATCTTCAAAAGATTATTTTAAAGAGCTCTAAGAAAAATACATTAAAAGATGAGGCTTCCGATTCAAAGAGCGATTCAAATCCTACTATTGGTGAAAGCGAACTTTCATTGGATGCAGCTAAAACCGAAACGCCCAATTCTAGTCAATCCAGAAGTAACTCGCCAGCAAAAAAGGTCAAAAAGGAATCGAAAGAAAAGAAAGATACGGTTAAAACTACCGCTATCCACGTTAATGCAAAAACATTTTTAACAAAAAAATGTGTAAGAACGCCAAAATCAAAGTCAAAATCGGTGAATAAAACTGCAAAAGTCGAAAAAAATATTGATAATGTAAAGTACAAAATTAATTTAGAAGCAGCCAAAAAAAGTTGTTCTCAGAAAACCTCAAAAGTTAAACCAGTAAGCAAGAAAGGGCTTAGTCCAAAAAAGAAAGGTGCAAATGGAACAAAAGCAGAAGCAAACGTAAAGGAAAAGTCAATTGATGAAAATAAAAACAAAGATGAGAACCTAGGTGACAACAATGACAAGCAAGATTCACCTGAAAGCGGTGAACCAACCCCCAATAATTCAAATGAAATGAAAGATGAAAGCAAGCCACCAGGTGGTGAAAACAAAGGTATTAATGACAACTCTGCCGTAAATACCTCTTCATCTAGTACTTCATCTGGAAACCAATCAGAAACGCCCAAAGTTGAAACCGAACGTCCTCTTAAATTTTTTACATCGAATCGGTCTCCAAGGACTGTGGACATAGACGTTAAATGTTGTAAATATTCTAAAGGCAACTTAAGCGTATCTGAAAGATTCCTGACGATGAAATGTGACACTAAAAATGATGATTATAACAAAGAAAAAAATTCATCGAACAATTTAGTATCTCAAGGAGCCGAGATTGATGTTTATACGTTTACCGAAAAGGTAGACTCACCAAAAAGCATTTTGTCTGATTTTCGTAATCCTAATAACAAAAGCATAGGCAGAGTAAGGCCCATAGCTCGAGTTAAAGGGACTGTTATTGATAAAAAGACCGACTCAGAAAGAAAAAAATACTCTCCTCATAGACCTATTGAAGAAGTAGTTAAACAGCTTAAAGCTAACAAACGTTCAGACGATATAACTTCGAATCAGAAGCAGTGTGGTGAACCGAATTCTAATTTAGAGTCATTTAATAAAGAAAAAGAATTAGATGATAAACCACAACCTATAGTCAGCAAGTCGTACAAAATGGTTGCTCGTAAATCGAGTATCACCGGGAAACCTTTCAGTCCAATTAAATTTTTTGAACAAGATTCTTGTACGTCTCCTAAGACCGAGGATTCACCTTCATTGGTAAAAGTAAATACAACGAAAAAGCCCCTTATTAAAAAACAACAGAAGAAAAGTCCTTTACTTGATGAAGATATAGATAGTTCTAAATTTTCAATAAATAAAAAATCCTTTCATTATACCTCATCGGAAGAAAGTTTAAATGAGTCTAACGATGATAATGAATCAAAGGAATCTTCGGGGTCTGATAAACCTAAAACGAAAAAGACAAAAAATAAGAAATTTAAACGGATCATGGACAGCCAGAAAAAGTCCACATCAAAAGAATTAAAAGAACTATCTAAAGATTCGCTGACTGATCTTAAAGATAACTTTGCTTTTTTATGTACCGAAAAGCCAAGCAAAAGAAGATTAAAGTTGTTGTCTATGTGGGCTGGGCCCAAAAAACACAGAATGGCATCCCTAAATGCTATAGCAAAAGTTCATTGTTTATATGAAAATGAAAGTCGAACTCATATGGAATTAGGTTTGATGAAGACCGTAGACCGACAAGCAATACCGAGTACGTCGAAAACGACATCGATAAAAAAGAAAGACTGTAAGTCCAAAGAAACAGAAAAACAAGAAAGCACTTCTGAGTCTGAATATGAAGTTAAGAAAGACAAAAAACAGGAAAGTTCTGAAAGCTCTGACGATAATCTTCCACAAAGGACTCTACGTGGAGTACCAGGTATTAGAAGTGCAGGTAAATATTGGGATCCAAAATCATGTACATCTTCCAGCGAGGAAAGCGAGCTTGAATTAAAAACAAAAAGTAATGCTCCAGAGAAAAAGAAAAATGTTACTAAAATTGCTGCTTCTAAACCAGATAACGAAAAACCTCTACCAAAAATGAAAAAGACAACAGGTGTACCAGTTAAAAAGAAACGTAATAGAAATGAAGTGGTTATGGACCTAAAAGACATGGTGGTACAAAAACGTATGGCTAGTTTGAATGCCACTGCTATTTTGGCAGCGAGCTATGAAAAGCGTTCTCCTAAATCCAGTAAAGACGATACAACTTCGGATTCGTGTAGCGATGAATCTTTTACACATAAATCAAAAAACGAATCCTGTACCGGCGTAAAGTCGGAGATAAAAAACGAAGACACTAAGAAAGAAAATGAAGAGAGTACGGTGGGGGATAAGAAACAAAAAGTGGAAGTAATAGTCAATCAAGATACTGATGTTACAATAACGGGGGTATATTCGACGCACCACCATGAAGGCTTTTGTACTGTTTCTGGAATGCAATACCGAATTTCTTCTACGAGTCACACGCAGACAACAGCAACGGCTAATTGTGAAAAGGTAATTTTTGCCATGAATTTCTTTAAACAAAATTTTTCCAATTTCAATGAATTCAATGGCCTTAAATTTTTATTTAAAAAAAATAAGCCTTTCATGTCAATTACGAAATTTTATTTTTTAAATTTGAAAATTTAGCCCTTTAAAAGTTTATTAATGCACGGTAATAAGTTTAATGAAAAAACGGCTCAGGTCCTCACCCTTTACCAGTCATCGCGTACACCGGGTTCATACTTACAAGGAAAAGTAAGCCCTTGGCTTAATATAGTAAAAGATGAATTTTGAATTTAAGCTTATGTATCGAGTCGTTAACGGTTGACGTGAACGGAGTTAGTGTAACCCTTGACGCAGATTATATTGTCTAAGGCGTTAAACCCTATTAACGTAATGTTGAACTCTGAGCTTGGGAGAATTGGCTAGCCGATTCCTTTATTTTAATTTTCTATTTCCTTAAGTAAATATAGAAGTTGGTTCTTTGCAAAACCATACAATTTTAATTTTTTGATATTTTATGTTTTAGATATTTAATTTTTTGTAGTAATATTAACGGAGACAAAAGTCAAACATTCCTCCTTCTTATCAGCCAACGAAAGCTTCACTGCTTTTTAAAAAAAAAATTATATATAGGATAAGGGTATCAAACGAGCACACAGTCCACCTGAAGGTAAGTGGTTGCTGCGGACATCTACATCTATCCTCCATTACAAATCAAAATGCAGATGCGTTGTCACCCGTGAGGACTAAGATGGAATGCCTCATTTCCAGTAAAAAGGGTCTCCGGTTCTCTACACTCACCATACGAAACACAGCAGTGCTAAGCTGCTATTTTACGCTGGTATTCTGTGAGAGCGTGGTCCCTCACCGATCAGCATCGCTCTACCACGTAAAAAATTTTGCTTGACATCGGCCTCTGAAAAGTAAAGAGGACTTGCCGCATTCGTTACTCATGTCAGGGGGATTGGAGATCGCAGAATCATGTGTTTTGGACCTTTGACGCTGTTTTTGTTACCGGTCTGATGTAGCGCACGGTCTCATGAACAATAAAAATGGTATCGCAATCACCACACGATCTTCTTGACCTTTCTCCAAGATGCAAGTTATGACAACCACATGATGAGATGAAATAATCGTTTTCTAGTATCGAAATCACGTTCAAAAGCTAAACATATAATGTAGATTAGTTATTACAAAAAGTTTTGTAGTTAATAATAATTATCGATATACAGGAGGGATGTCCTCGCGAAGAAGGATCGCGGTACACGCCTTTATCTGCTTTATCGTCAATGCAACCCCCAGCGGAGCATACACATCCACATCCACATCCCGGTAAGTTTTTAATTTTTTATCTAGTTAATTAACCGTGTACTTGCGGTGTAAGTATATACACTACTCCATATCATTCGGTGGGTGTCGTAAGAGGCGACAGAGCGAAACTGATACAGGAAGTGGGCAGCAGTATATTCCTATTGTCAATTCGAAATTATAAAAATTGCGGTTGCCAACTCGTCTGCCAATCGTGGCATCTATAACAAAAATCCTCCTACGAGTATTGCCCTATGAGCAAAGCTTATGTTCAGCTGTGGACTTTTATAGTCTGTAATGTAGGTATTTATAAGGCATCATTTCCATGCCGTGATGTGAGCAATATTGATGACGACGTAATTCTTCAAGTCAATTTCAATCACGGTTACAATTATTGATTATTGTCAGAAGTTATCAATTGGAGAGGATATAATATTATAGTCACATAAATGTATGCGCGAACAGTCTCATTCATTAAAGTCTATCCGCTTTTGATGTGAGGCTTATGTGATAAGATCAAATACATGCTTGATTTCAATGGCAAACACACAATATGTCCAGACCCAAAAGCTAAAAATTTGCCACACAAAAAGAACCCAGAACCCAGAACTTTGTAATCAGTTTACTACTGAGCCACTCGCCAACATACACCACCACATCTACGAAATAATAATATCATCGTATTAAATTAGGTTCAACGTCGGCGGCAAATACCTATTTTATTCAAAGAATATCATAGAAAGCTTTTCCGTGTCAGTATTTATTGTGTAAATAATAAACGGTCGTTAGCTTCAACATAAAATAACACACTTTCTCTCGAATCTTTTCCGCCAGCTTCATACTCGTAGTATATTGTACTTAGCAAATCGTAAAGCATCTTATACTTACTGCCAGCAGATAACTGGCTGGCATGATGCCAGACGTGCAGATGTCAGTGCCGAGTCTTGGCCTCTAGAGGTTTTCCCTTAATATATATATATATGATATCTCCTATTAACATACTACATTTCTGATTATGCAAAATCATTATATATAATATCGGAATTGCGTACAATATTCCCATAATACAATTACAATATACATACTATAATACCGATTATGAAAAAGAAAGCACGGCTTGACTTTTAAGTTCTTGTTTTTATAACACAGATTGGTTCAGGGAATTATCACGTAAGGATAATCCTTGTATTGCTTACGCTAATTTCTTACTATATTCAACGCGTATATTTTTTTAATGTTACCGATTACAGCCTATTAAAGTCCACTGCTGAACATAGGCCTCCCCATAGATTGCCTCATATTTGCCATAGTTGCCCCGTTTGGCAAGCGGTAGGCAACCGCATGTTTTTTTAATATTTAGTCGTGATTAGGAAGAAGTTTTTTGATGTACGTTTATCGGTTTCTGGGAAACGGCTAAGACGATTTTATTATACTTGAGTGGTGGTCCCATATAAATCTAAAGATTAATTTTACCCAAAAAATAGGGAATGAAGTTTTTAATATAACTATTTAGACGACATTGTAGTTTTTACCTTGAATTTCAAAAAATAAAACCTGCTTCAAAATTTAAAAAAGTATAAATAAATTTCACGTAATAGCTCCTTAATTCGGAGCTTTAATTCTTTGATGTATTATCTTACTCGTAGCACTGACTTCAAAAGCTATTTATAGGGAAATTATTGTTTTGTGTTTTTGAAGTCGGTTTTACTTTTTTTTTGTTTAATTGTATCAGAATGTTATTCTATTTCACTTTAAATTATTCCATTTATTTATTTTAAATTTTAAGTAATTGATTGTATTTAAGACTTGAAGGTACTTAACGTAATTCAATATTTGAATCTTCGTATTTTCTAACTTTTATTTTCAATTACATGAGAACATATCTCGAAAGTTAGTTACCTTCAAAATTGCTCCAGACTTTATAACAGCCGGAGAAGAAAAGTTGTTTCTACAGAATGCAGTGTATTGGGTACCAACTAAGGAATTTCAGTGGTATAAGTGACAAGTGAAGCTTTTTTTTTTGATATCTTGATTATTTTTAAAAGTTAAACAGTAAACCTAATTTAATGTTTTGTTTAGGTACTTGTTATTTTTTTCAATAATCTTTTGCTGATACATAAGTCTGGCTATTTTCAAAGTGGTCTTAAAATCATAGCAACAAACTAGATTCTGTCATCGCGTAATTTTATCTTTTAACAGAGATAGTGTAAATTATAAAAGTCAAAATGATTTTTTTAATTTCTTTATTATATGACATGAGTTGTGAGATTTGTTAGCTCATGGGCTAAGCGCTTTCTGTAAATTTTACAGTATGGAAGCAAATTTTACAGTACGGAAGCAACCCGGGTTCGATCACCGCCTTTACCAAAAATATTGTTAATTAAAATTTTAAGTGCTGTTATTTATACTTTTTTTTATAAGCTGTAATTTATACTTTTACGTGAGTGTAAGGGAGAGTTATTTTTTTTTGCTACAAACGCCAATCAGGAGTGGAAGACTGCACGCGGTGCATCCCACTAATAAACCCAACCGACAAATGGTGATATAGCCATTTAACAACTACAAGCGTTGCGAAATAGAGCGAATCGTTCAAGGGTATATTTAGGCTTACGAATAAAGAATAATATATGGGATAATATGTGTGTATAATAAATAGTCATAGTTCAACCAGCAGAGAATGATGGAATTCAGTATTTCACCCCTTACTATTCTTCTTTTACAATTATTAACATCGTCATTAGCTCGTGGATATGAGTCTTGCGCTTAGTTTACACTCATACATTTTACACTTAAATTTATTTTCAATCGCCGTTTCTGTATGATTTCTGTCACATATGAGACGATTATTGCGCCATTATTAAAGCCGAAAAACTTGTATTAGATATTATATTACTCTTGCCCTAATTTGCTGTATTACTTACCTTATATTTAGATGTTTCAATATTTTAAAGTAAATTATATACCAAAACTTTTAACAATAAAGGTTACTTTCCGCTGTCACTTGTTCTTTGTACTTTACTCACGACTGCTTGAGGGCGGATGATGGCAGCGTTCCAACGTCTCTTATTCCTCAGATATTAAAGAGCGGCCACTTATCTAAGCAGCCGTCCAACGACCAAACTCTAAATCAGCACTATCGGGACTATTTTTGATATTCAATTTAACCCTTGCTTTGGGTTATATTTAATAGCGCTTATCTAATATAATAAAGCGGAAGTTTTTTTTTTTTGTGTTTTGTTTGTTTAAACACGCTAACCTGTGAAACTACCAGTCTGATTTGAAAAATTGTTTTTTCAAATCTCATTTTTATATTATAGCCAGAGGAATAGTATAGGCTATCTAGCATATTAGGCTACACTTCTCAGCTAGCCTTTAATAAGCGAGTCAGAAGAAAAAGCGCTCTCGAAAAGATTAATCCGCGTGCGCTGGCTGGCGTAATTGTTAGTGATACGTAAATACAATGTTCTATAAAATATCGATCTTGCCTTGCATTTGTCTTATACAATAATAAGTTATATAGTGGCAAAAATTTTATGAAAATTAAAAAGTGATTTATGACCGTTATTACTATGCATGGCTCTTTAATCGTTACGAACGAAAGTTCACCAACACAATTCTATGAAGATAAAATTTACTCTTTATATGTTATTTGGACGCATAGTTTAACAGAATGAAAAATTTTAACATTTCAACTCTTGGCTCGGAGCGCGAACGACGCTTAAACCCAAGCCGCTCGATGAAAATCGAGAGAAACCAGCAGTGAACACTTCTATGAGCGAGGTCATGTCATGCCGCGCGCAGTGTTGCTAAATATTAAACTAGCTCTCCACCAGATTCAAATTCAACCACTAAATAAAAGCGACCCTACACTCATTATCCCTAAATTTACTACTAAGCAAATTTTTGTTTATTACAAAAGAATAAAAATAGGTAATTTAGTAATTTGTTTACCTTAATTATTACAAACTGTATAATAAAACATTAGTCGTGGTAGCTCAGAAGCTAAGCCCTCGCTAAGAGACGGCCCCCAGACCCCGGCGGCCCCGCTATTCCTGGCTACGGTGGCGACCATGGTAACGGCAGGGCAGGGGGTGCTAAGAATCTCCAGTGAAGGTTCGGTTGCCACCTAAGACGACTCGACCTGACAACATATAACGCACGCTCCCTGAAGACTGACAAGAAGATCCTGAAGCTGGAAAAAGAGACAAGTTGATAAGTTGCGCTGGAATATTATAGGATTATCTGAGGTCCGAAGATAGGGGGAGGACATGGTAATCGAATCGAATCCGGCAACTTGTTCTATCACCGGGAGGGCGACCATCTGTCCCAAGGAGGTGTCGGATTTATCGTCCACAAGTCTCTCATTAACAACGTTGTAAAGATTGAGAGTGTATCGACAAGGGTTGCGTACCTTATACTCAGAATCACCAAACTGTATTCGCTGAAGGTCATATAGGCTTCCGCACCAACCTCGGCACATCCCGATGATGAGATGGAGGAAATGTATGAGGATATATATATATAGCCATGCATTCCTCCAAAATCCGCTATACGGTGTTAATGGGAGACTTAAACGCACAACTAGGCACATGAAAGAACGGTGAGCTGAAGGTAAGGAAATTTGAAATAAGGCAACGGAACCCAAGGGGCCAGTAGCTGACCGAATTCATGGAAAAAGAGGGACTCTTTATGATAAGCTCTTTCTTCTGGAAGCGGCCTCACAGGAAGTAGACCTGGTCCAGCCCCGACGTTTCGACAAAAAATGAGATTGACTTCATTATGACGATCAGACGACAACTGTTCAGTGATGTTTTAGTGATCGCGAGAGTGAAACCCGGCAGCGATCACCGAATGGTGAGAGGCACACTGAACCTAAACGTTAAGATGGAGTGGTCACGTCTAATGAAGTTAACGCTCCGTCCCCCTCGTGCTCTAATCCAAAGACTCGAAACCTTTCAGCACGAGCTAGTAAACCGTTTTTAGTGCCTAGAAGATTGCAATGCGTGGACGATATAAATGACAAG